CAGTCTAGAGTTCATAGGAGAAGAAAATGAGGCTAGGGACCTGGGGGGCGGGGGAGGGGGGCGAATGACTTAGGATACCTCATCAGAAGAAATTATCATTGCTACATAACAGCTGACCGCCTACAGAACAAAATATTACTGCCCCGCTGTAATATTTACTTGGTAGCAGTAAATGGGTTAATAGTGGCACATAAAAGAGGTCAAAATCACCTTGTTAGCATTTGCAACAGTAAAATGTTACAGTTCCCATTACATCATCAGCAGCCTAAGATTGAAGGGTGTGGAAGTGGGGGTTATCCAGTGATTTCCTGTGCTAACAGAAAGTGCTGAAAGGTACTAACAAATTACAACTCCCAGCATTCATAAGGTTTTTTTTGTTTTTTTTTTACTATACTGGGATGTGTTTATGGGAGGCTGCCGGGCAGCCCTGTGGGTGTGCTACATGTTAATTGAGATATTGTGTTCCATGCCCCTTATATTTCGTTTTATTGCATACAAATGTATTATCTCTGAAGCTCTGAAGATGCTGAGGATCTACAGCTGAATGATACATAAATAAGTTACATTTTTGTTAATATGGCTCAGATACTTGAATGCATTTTAAAGATTTGACTCTTGAGTTTAGAGTCACTTTAATAACAAAGCTCCTCCATGCAAAAAAAAGTCAGTTAGTAGACTGCAAATACTATCAAGGAAATATCGTAACTCTTTAAATATGAGAAGAACTAATTTAGCATTTTTTTATAATTTTGCCACAATTTGTAACAGGTTCCAGTGGAACCTAATTGAGAATGCCCTTTGTAGTATTTCTTGGATAGCCATGTGTTAATCTATAGGCAGTGCAAATAGTTACATTTACATGACTCATCCCATGTGGTTTACCAAGAATCTTGCCTGGCTGGAGAATAAAGCAAGCTCCTGGGGTATATGGCTTAATTACTTATGTCATTCACTACACCCTTCTGGCCACGCTGCTGTCAGCTGTGAGTCATAGGTGCTTCACTGTTCTCACAGAGAAATCATTCCAGAAACCAATAAACACACTAGACTTCAGCTTCCAATGAACATTCAAAAGATAAGGATTCCAACAATTATAACTATTTATTTCAAAAGGCAGCAGTGTCCAGATCTAAACCATTCAGTGGATATACTGTATTCCCGGATTCATTATAAACACAAAACATTCATCTTACTCTGTAAAGCTGGCCATACGCCTTACAACCATCGCACGACTTTCGTTGTGCGATGGTTGTAAGGTAATTAAAATCTCGTACAATCTGCCGATCTTGGATAGGCAGATCGTACTTGCGATCATCGCAAGCCCTCCCCGCTGAGGGGAGGGCTTCCGATGATTCCAATGCTGAGTGGGCAGTGTGCGCTTGCGCACAACAGGCACATTTGGCATTTGTCTTCCGAGCACGGCACTAACCCGCCGAAAATCTTACGATTTTCGGCAGGTTTTCAAGCGTGCTGGGAAGACAAAAGACGTGCAACCGTACAGTAGAAAGCATGCAAAAGCTGGATACTCAATTGTAATTATTGCATTGTTTTGTATTGTATTTATTAGTTAGGCAAACTCATATTGTTGTATTTGAGGTTTCTTCCTAGAAGTATATATAAAATAAATGTTTGAACCATTCATAGGAAGTTGTTGCAACTGTTGGATTATAAACTGTGCAGGGATATAGTTTGTTGCAAGAGGACAAGAAGAAATAAGGACTGTAAATTCAGTGGTACAAATTAGAAGTTTGAAATACATTCAATAGACATATGCAACTAACAAATTTGTCCGGCAGTCAGTTAATACACATACGGTTATGCATTGTAATGTTAATTATAAGATAGGCAGGGCCCTGCTTTTATTTCAAACAGTTTTATTGCCAAATGTGAATTAATAAAGGTGTCATTAAATATTAATAGTAGGATTGTTTAATTATATGTTAGAATAATTATCTTTAATTGGATATGGTAGCTGTAATAAAATTGCTTTCTCAGATTCAATAAAGGTAAGAACAATGAACATAAGCTTGCACAAGTGACATGTGGCAATTCCTGACTGTGCTATGCCTAAGCACAACCCTGTGAGCATAACTACCTATTTCTAAATACAGCTTTTGTGGTTCACAGGAGCAGAAAACAGGAATTTTTAAAATATATATCATTGAAAATACAAATGCATTGTTTTAAAGGAGAGTTAACATTTTATTATATTTTCAGCCAGTCAAAAAAATGTCAAAGGGATACATATTCTTACTTTTGACCTGTACTTTTGTCTTGGATACAAGTGAAATTGTAACTCCAGGTTTGAGAGATATACACTTCTCTACATGTCTAGGTGCATTCTTTACAGAAACAGTGTACAAATCACCTCCAGGCTGCTAAGGGGTATCAATGCTTTTACCCAAGATTCATATAACTTTCACACATTTTTCTAATTAAATGTTATGTAAAAACATGGGTGTTTTATTGGTGAAAGATGTATGGGTAAAAACATTGAGAAACAGACCCTGAATATTAAACATTTTGTAGTAAAAGTCAGGTTTTCTGAATCTTTGAAGATTTATGACACCACAAATATTATTTATAAATGATTATGCTATCCAGACTCTGGCAATGGTGTAAAATAACTTAATTTGACACAGATGCAATTGCAGATCATTGTGAGTAATTCATTATATTAAATCATTTATCAAATTCATAATATAATTTACTTAAATTAAAGTTAAAAATGCAAAGTATACTAAACCATAAATAAATATAGATGTAAAACAAACACTCCATAGACCAATTCTCAAACACCAATGTTCCCATTCCAAAAAGCCTTGTTCTTTTGAAATTAATGAAGTGTGTAGCCTACAGTTACTGTAAATCAGGTTAGGTAAGCTTGTTTTAAAGCCGTACTCTGTGCAAAATAACAATTTACACAACACCCTGGGTATGTAAATTATCATTAAAAAACTGTCTGTTATGTGCAGAGGGCGTAGACAAATCTTAGACGGCATGCTGCAACATAGAAACATCTTACCTTGTAGCATGCCATCTCCTGCACAGAGTTCCGAGCTTCTGAGCACTGAAGAGAGGGAAAGATCTGACCCGAGCTATATGGCACTCCGGTTGCTTTACCCACCCCTCTTCATTATCCTCCATTTACAAAATGTCTTGTATTTTTTGATAGAATACAAGACATTCTGTGATTAAAGGAGGAAAGGAGGGGGAAGAGATGTGACATCAACTCTCCTCCTCTAATCACAGCACTGTGCAGAGAGCAGAGCACTGGGAGGGACTCAGCAGACACCACCCACTAGAGGCTGTCTGCAGAAAATGACAGGAAGAGGTGGAGACAAGACCAGTCACCCAGTACAAGGAGATAAACCAGTAGTGACTGGTCTTTATTACAGGAAGCTCCAGCACAAAGGTAACATTTCACACTGGATTACTGTACAGATCTGTAATAAATAAACAAAGCACATCAAGGTTCAAGTAAGAATACACATGCCTGTTATTTAGACAATATTAGATAATCCTGGAGTTCAGCTTTAATTTACCTGAATATATGCATGCAGTTTTGCCAGACCCTTGGAGAATCATGTACTTCAAGAATCAAAGTAATAGAAAGTGATAACGTGCATCATTCCCTTTAGAATCTTCTCAGATAAATTGAAAATGTGTAATTCATTGAAAACTATTAGGCTAGAAACACATTTATGCACTGTGAAAATACATGTTTTAGCACACATTCTCAGGTAGCACTGTAACGCTTTCTGATAGTTTTCTGATTAGTACCCCAATGCATCTTGAAAACACACACATTTGAGGGCCCCACAACATGTGTGTTATATTGAAAAGGGTTCCTGTTCAATTGTTTGTGTTTAAAATGAATTGGCTGACGTAACATAACGCATGTAAAAGTGCATGCAATAGCACACTGCAAGGCACTGGACAGGTGTTAATGGGGCGTAGGACTTGCTAAATGAACCAGGTTTGCTGATCTTTAATACTGAATTAAAGCATTGTTATGTCATAGCACTGTGTATGGTTTGCTCATTAAGCACCACTGCTAGTCAGACAGAATATACATCCCTAAGATCACCCACTGATCACTGTACGTGTTTACCATTGTAAACACACTTATACATGTGCATGGATATTCATGTATGATTTTTTAAACTAGCTAAAGAACTGCTCATCCCAAATGGCAGTTCAGACTTATCTGAAACAAAAGGCCATTTAAGCTTGAAGAAGTATGCCCTACTGTGTCTGCTAATACATTCATTAACCTGGAAACCCTCCTCTTTGCACCCTTCTGTAACTGTTTTTTTTTTCTGGTGTTAAGAGCCTGATGTACTTCAGGGTAAGTCCCACCACCTACCTTCCAATGAGAGCACTCTTATTGGCCACTAAGGCGCACTCATCATGCTGAGGATGAAGGGGATTGTTGGTAGGTGAGCTTTAGCACCAACGTTGGTGAAGTCATCTTTTATAACAAAGTGAAACCATTATCAGTGCAGTCAAGTGCATCAGTGTGATGCTTTCTTTTACTTTAAACTTTTAAAAGTATAAGATAGACCCACAGGTTTGCTCTAACGCCCCTCCCCAGTAGCACATAATAACCTTTCTTTTATTTAGTCACCGGAAAAGAAGAAAATACATCCCTGCACTTTCAGGTATAGAGGAGCATGTGACTCGCTCCACTCTCTCTTATGTGACAGCGCACGTGCTTTGAAATGGCCCACTTGTCACATGGGGACGGGGAGAAAAGGGGAGCTTTATGTAAGCTTCAACAGAAGCTACCTTTCCTCACTCTTGGCACCTGAGTAAAGCGATGAGGAGTAAAGGAAATATGAGAATATGCTGCTGGTGAAAGGGACATTAAAGCCAATCGGTTGCTTTACCCTTCACCAGAAAAGCACAGGTTTGCTTCAAGTAAATCAGGCCAGACATATTAAAAAACTGTTAAAATTGCCAATTGCATTAAAAAAAACACCAATCTAACAACTTACCATCAAACTTTCTATGCCATACTGTGACTGCAGTGCGGACAAAATGGCTTGTTTCTTGTACTATATTGTCAAATTCCAGCTGACTTTGATGACTGAGTTTATCCTCCATTTCAGTTGTGCAGCATGTGTATTCCTGAGAACAGACATGCAGATGATCCCCTGAAGGAAAATTAAAGAAAAGTTTTTTGTTTATAAAAAAGAAAGGACCACAAGATTGATTATTTTGCAGTCTAAATTCATGAATCTTTCATGCTGAACATTTCTTGTTGTTAGACTGTATATTAGAAAATAACTTAAGCCAAGAAGATGAAAACAATTATAATTAAAAATTCATACAAGTGGCATAGGAAAGTTAGTTTGCAAGTGATAGCATACATTTGAAAGAAGCTCTTTATTCTTTCTGTTTTATTTTGTTTTTCATGGTAGCATTTTCTAATGGAAACTGCAACTATTACATCTCTCCAAATGGACCATAATATGCAATGCAAGTAACATAATGACAAACATTCTTGTCAAGAGCTGACTACCTATAACTTCTAATAAGTAAGCAGGTCAATACAGATAAAATAAATATACAAATTAAAATTAAATATACACATAAATCTATTAGAAGATTCATAATAATGCCCAGCAAAAAGAAGAATTGCGTAGACATTGCCACATAAAACATACAGACTACAAGAGACAGTACTGTATTGTCTCTTAGTTAACTATGCCCATCCACCCTGTAAAAACGTATTCATCCACAATACAATCACAAAACTCAAAAAGTGTCTAGGATGTATCTCCTATGTCCTCCTCCTCTACTCCTGCTGCTGCTCCCTTGATACAAACACCAGCAATTCCTGGCTTTCAAAATGATAACCAGGAATAGATATGTATTATATAGCAGGAGTGGCTGTCAAAATGCAGCCACTCATTTAAGTAATGCAATATAACAATGTATTGTTTAATCGTATTGACTATAGTATTTAATTCATATGTGAACTTTGATCTGCATATGACATCAGTTAACCACTGGAAGACAAGGGTGTTAAAACCCCTTCCTGGCCAGGCCATTTTTCAGTATTTAGCGCTGCAGTACTTTGACAATTATTCCGTCATGCAACGCTGTTTCTCTGTGAAATGTTATAAAACATTTATTATCACCCCAAATTTTTGGTAAAACATAAAAGACGGGGTCACGTTGGGTAAATAGACACCAAACATATCAAGTCTTAAAATTGTGCGCGCCCACGAAATCGCAGAAAACGACCATACCCAACATTGGCCATAGGCGACGCTTTAAAAGTTTTTACCGCTCATCAGTTTAGTGTTATCAGTGACCCTAAAATTATTGCTCTCACTCACACGTTCGTGGCTATATATAACATGTGCGGCACAATAGGCGGAATTGTTGTTTTCGTACGTTGGCGCATCCGACGCATCTTTGCGCGTGTATGTGGGGGGCGGGGGACTTTAACATTTTTTGTGTCATTGTACATTTTTTTTATTTGTGACACTTTTTTTAAGCTTCTTCATTTTTTTATTATTTCATTTTTGTATACTTTTTTTTTTTACACTTAACTTTATTCCTATCACATAGGGGACTAAGAAACCCCCTATGTGATAGCCAATTCCCATAACAGGTCCTCTTTATGGAGACATCAGATGTCTCAAAGACCCCTAATGTCACCTAGGGACCCCAAAAGAAGATGATGAAGCAGAGATCTGCTTCACCATCGTCTCTCCGGCATCTTTACCGGAGAGTGACAGAGGAATGCGGAAGTGATGTAACATACATCACTTCCTGCATTTGGGGACCGGAGAGGGAGTTTGTGTACTGATCTCACTTTGATCTCCACTGACAGTCACCGTGCTGGTCTCAGCAGCACTGGGCACAGCAGATCTCGGGACCGGCGGCGATGGAGATGGCGACGCACACCCGCACCTAGTACAAGCGATCGGGCATCTCTAGAGACGCCTGATTGCTTGAATATAAACAGCCATCGCTGGCTGTTTAAATTTCTGACAGTTTCCCCACTCGTGTGTGCGCTGTGTGGGGGGAGGGGAAGGACGTCTTAAGACGCCCTCCCGCTCCTATAAGGCTTCCGTCCGGCTGTCCAGGAATGTCCATGGACGGGAAGTGGTTAAAGAAACCTTACAAGTAAAACATTTTTTTAAATAAATATATTCTATTTAACCTCTCATAAACCCTTAGTTAACCCTAATTAGCCTAATTATCTCCTGCTTCCCCTTAACTCTTTTTTTTCTGCTCATTTTTTATTTCTTTTTTTATTTACATCAGGAAAATCACTTCTTGATTATCCAGTATATTTTTGTGTAGGTCTGTCCCATCTGCATAGAATTGCACAATTGAAAGATCAAGGGAACCATGATTCATGAAATGTAAAACAGCCTGCGTACTAGACAAAGGTCAGAAGTACCCCTTTGGGTACCTGTATCACTGTGATTTAACACACCAGGGTTCCCTCCTAAACTAACGTGTCACTTTTGGCAGAAGTTGACCTTTAAAGCACTACTATCTATTCTTTTTGCAGTACACATTTAACCCTTCACTGCCGCTGACATAAGACAGAAGGTGGTGGCAGCACCAATCTGTATGCAGTCCGTTTGCATTTTGACAGCCAGCTGCCAGCCTCCTGATCACATGCACGGTAATATGCTCCCACGTGCCATGTGTCCTGGGCACATGGGTCCTTCCTGGGTGTCCAGAACCTCCATGTCAGGTGTCAGAATGGAGAGTGAAGAGAGATGAGTTAACATCTGTTTGCTATTCTCCTCTATGAAAAATGAACCTGGAAGCTACAAGCTCTGATCACTTCCAGGTTCAACGTTGTTATTCCCAGTACTCTGTGGCCAGGGAATAAACTAATTACACATGATCTGTGCTTGTGTATCAGTGTTGGTTGTGCCTGCATACAAAAATGATGATGGCACCACACATAATAGGTATAGGGAGTTGTTTCCTCAGCAAAGAGTCCTGTAAGGTATTTGCACACAATACCAGGCATACCTCCGTGTAGCAAAACGTATCCTGTATTCCTTACTTCTACTGTGCCACTAACAAGCAGAAATACCTTTCCTGAACACTAGAATGCAAATCAAAGTCACACGTTTGCAAACATCAATCTACAGAAAACCCACAGACTGTCCCACATACCTCAGACATGATAGCTTTTATCCCTGGCACATCAAATAATCTGTCTTCTATAGTCAGGCTATAATGTACAACTGGATCAGTTCAGACACCAATGACAGAAATGCCCAAATTAAACAGCTCAGGTGGGATTTCATTAAACATGGATATAACCCAGTGACAACAAACAACAGATCAGGAAAACAATTAGCATCCCCAGAATCTGTTTTTTTACACCATAAACAGACAGAAAAGGAGAATGGTGTCCTATTGGTGGTCACCTACATTCCATATCTAGAAGGTCTAAGCAAGATTGCATAAGAGCCCCAGCCCCTTCTGCAATTACATGCAGCTAGGGACAGATGAGTGGCTGTTTTCAGAGCCGCTCATCTGTCCCTAACTGCAGGTATTCACTTCATGCCCAAATATATGTGGACAGCTTCAGAGCCTTTTAGCCTATCATTGCTTTGTACAGTCTGATTGGCCACATCTAATCGATAACACCTCAGAAATACACTGATCTAGGTGTTTAGGGCCACAAATGGTCATATTATCCTTTACAATAGCCTTTACGACTTAGGCCCCGTTCACATATAGCGACTTATCGCGTGATTTCCGCCGCGATATCGCGCATTTTTGCCGCGCGATATCGCGAGAAGTCGCCGGCCAATGCTATTCAATGGAGCTGTCTTAACCCCATGTCGCGCATCGCTTGTCGCGGTCGCTTCTACCGGACTCTTTTTTCGGCGGATTTTGCGCGATTTTGCTTTTTTCCTATGGAGCCCGACGGAGAAGGTTGCGCTACCGTCACTGGATCATCGCTGGAACGTCGCCCGGAAAGTCGCGCTATCCCGGCCGCTGCAAAGGTATGTCGCTATATGTGAACGGGGCCTAAATTGTGTAAAAAATAGCTGCATTTTCAAAAAAAATATTTATATATCTGCTTCTCCGTGCATCTATCTTCTGGAGCTTTTAGCCATAATGTGCTAGTATGCACTAGTGATGGGCCGAACACCCCCGTGTTCAGTTCGAATTCGAACTTTAGAACATGGAAAAAGTTTTAATTTGAACACAAACTCAATGCAGGTCTATGGGGCTAGAACTTTGAAAATCAATTGTCCCCATTTTGAAGGCTTATATGCAAGTTACTGGCCATAAAAAGTGTATGGAGATTCGGGTACTGTCCTGGGGACATGTATCAATGACAATTTTTTTTTTAAATACAGTTTTTAAAGGAGCAGTGATGTTACTATCACTTAAAGTTAAACAATAAAAATGAAAAATTCCTTTAAATATCATGCCTGGGGGGTCCCCTTAAACTGCCTGGAAAGTGGCACATCTGTACAATCTATAGAACCTTCTGCAACAAAAATGACATTTCTAAAGAAAAAAAATAATGACACTTAAAAAAAAAGCATGCAGTTCTCCCTCCCAAACAATACCAGACCCTTTAGGTCTGGTAGGAATGTTAGGCGGGACCCCATTTAAAAAAAAACAAGCGTGGGGTTTCCCCTAAAAGTCATACCAGACCCTTAAGGTCTGGTAGGAATTTTAGGAGGGACCCCATGTAAAAAAAAAAAAGTATGGCGGGTTCCCCCTCAAAGTCATACCAGGCACTTAAGGTCTGGTAGGAATTTTAAGGAGGAACCCCATGCCCAAAAATGGGGGGGGGGGGAAGGTTGGGTCCCCCCTAAAATTCCATACCAGACCCTTGATCCGAGCACAGGCCTGGCAGGGCAGGAAAGAGGGGGGCGAGTGGGCGGCCCCCTTCCCTCCCATACCAGGCCACATGCCCTTGGCACTGGGAGGGTGCTTTTCCAGGGTTGCCCCTGGGAAAGCACCTTGTTCCCATGCCGATTGGGACATCCCGATGCAGACAAGGGCCTCTTTCCCACAAGCCCTGGGGCGTTGGTTGTGGGGGGTACGGGCAGGGGGCTTATTCACATGAGGGTACCCCTTTAATAATGGGGCACCCAGATCCCGACCCCCTCCCCTGCGAATGAGTAAGAGGTACCCATTC